CATCTTGTGAGTGAGGATTTCTCCATCTTGTGAGTGAGAGATTTCTCCATCTTGTGAGTGAGAGATTTCTCCATCTTGTGAGTGAGAGATTTCCATCTTGTGAGTGAGAGGTTTCTCCATCTTGTGAGTGAGAGATTTCTCCATCTTGTGAGTGAGAGGTTTCTCCATCTTGTGAGTGAGAGATTTCTCCATCTTGTGAGTGAGAGGTTTCTCCATCTTGTGAGTGAGAGATTTCTCCATCTTGTGAGTGAGAGATTTCTCCATCTTGTGAGTGAGAGATTCTCCATCTTGTGAGTGAGAGTTTCTCCATCTTGTGAGTGAGAGATTTCTCCATCTTGTGAGTGAGATTTCTCCATCTTGTGAGTGAGAGATTTCTCCATCTTGTGAGTGAGAGATTTCTCCATCTTGTGGGTGAGGTTTCTCCATCTTGTGAGTGAGAGTTTCTCCATCTTGTGAGTGAGAGATTTCTCCATCTTGTGAGTGAGAGATTTCTCCATCTTGTGGTGAGAGATTTCCATCTTGTGAGTGAGAGATTTCTCCATCTTGTGAGTGAGAGATTCTCATCTTGTGAGTGAGAGATTTCTCCATCTTGTGGGTGAGAGATTTCTCCATCTTGTGGTGAGAGGTTTCTCCATCTTGTGAGTGAGAGATTTCTCCATCTTGTGGTGAGAGATTTCTCCATCTTGTGGTGAGAGATTTCTCCATCTTGTGGTGAGAGATTTCTCCATCTTGTGAGTGAGAGATTTCTCCATCTTGTGAGTGAGATTTCTCCATCTTGTGAGTGAGAGATTTCTCCATCTTGTGGTGAGAGATTTCTCCATCTTGTGGTGAGAGGTTTCTCATCTTGTGAGTGAGAGATTTCTCCATCTTGTGAGTGAGAGATTTCTCCATCTTGTGAGTGAGAGGTTTCTCCATCTTGTGAGTGAGAGATTTCTCCATTGTGAGTGAGATTTCTCCATCTTGTGAGTGAGATTCTCCATCTTGTGAGTGAGAGATTTCTCCATCTTGTGAGTGAGAGATTTCTCCATCTTGTGAGTGAGAGATTTCTCCATCTTGTGGTGAGAGTTTCTCCATCTTGGGTGAGAGATTTCTCCATCTTGTGAGTGAGATATTTCTCCATCTTGTGAGTGAGAGATTTCTCCATCTTGTGAGTGAGAGATTTCTCCATCTTGGGTGAGAGATTTCTCCATCTTGTGAGTGAGAGATTTCTACATCTTGTGGTGAGAGATTTCTCCATCTTGTGAGTGAGAGATTTCTCCATCTTGTGAGTGAGAGATTTCTCCATCTTGTGAGTGAGAGATTTCTCCATCTTGTGAGTGAGAGATTTCTCCATCTTGTGGGTGAGATTTCTCCATCTTGTGAGTGAGAGATTTCTCCATCTTGTGAGTGAGAGGTTTCTCCATCTTGTGAGTGAGAGATTTCTCCATCTTGTGAGTGAGAGATTTCTCCATCTTGTGAGTGAGAGATTTCTCCATCTTGTGAGTGAGAGATTTCTCCATCTTGTGAGTGAGAGATTTCTCCATCTTGTGAGTGAGAGATTTCTCCATCTTGTGAGTGAGAGATTTCTCCATCTTGTGAGTGAGAGATTTCTCCATCTTGTGAGTGAGAGATTTCTCCATCTTGTGGTGAGATTTCTCCATCTTGTGAGTGAGAGATTTCTCCATCTTGTGAGTGAGATTTCTCCATCTTGTGGTGAGAGTTTCTCCATCTTGTGAGTGAGAGATTTCTCCATCTTGTGAGTGAGAGATTTCTCCATCTTGTGAGTGAGAGATTTCTCCATCTTGTGAGTGAGAGATTTCTCCATCTTGTGAGTGAGAGTTTCTCCATCTTGTGAGTGAGAGATTTCTCCATCTTGTGAGTGAGATTTCTCCATCTTGTGGTGAGAGATTTCTCCATCTTGTGAGTGAGAGATTTCTCCATCTTGTGGGTGAGAGATTTCTCCATCTTGTGAGTGAGAGATTTCTCCATCTTGTGAGTGAGAGATTTCTCCATCTTGTGAGTGAGAGATTTCTCCATCTTGTGAGTGAGAGATTTCTCCATCTTGTGAGTGAGAGATTTCTCCATCTTGTGGTGAGATTTCTCCATCTTGTGAGTGAGAGATTTCTCCATCTTGTGAGTGAGATTTCTCCATCTTGTGGTGAGGATTTCTCCATCTTGTGAGTGAGAGATTTCTCCATTGTGAGTGAGAGATTTCTCCATCTTGTGAGTGAGAGATTTCTCCATCTTGTGAGTGAGAGATTTCTCCATCTTGTGAGTGAGAGTTTCTCCATTGTGAGTGAGAGATTTCTCCATCTTGTGAGTGAGATTTCTCCATCTTGGGTGAGAGATTTCTCCATCTTGTGAGTGAGAGATTTCTCCATCTTGTGAGTGAGAGATTTCTCCATCTTGTGAGTGAGAGATTTCTCCATCTTGTGAGTGAGAGATTTCTCCATCTTGTGAGTGAGAGATTTCTCCATCTTGTGAGTGAGAGATTTCTCCATCTTGTGAGTGAGAGTTTCTCCATCTTGTGAGTGAGAGATTTCTCCATCTTGTGAGTGAGAGATTTCTCCATCTTGTGAGTGAGAGATTTCTCCATCTTGTGAGTGAGAGATTTCTCCATCTTGTGAGTGAGAGATTTCTCCATCTTGTGAGTGAGAGATTTCTCCATCTTGTGAGTGAGAGTTTCTCCATCTTGTGAGTGAGAGATTTCTCCATCTTGTGAGTGAGAGATTTCTCCATCTTGTGAGTGAGAGATTTCTCCATCTTGTGAGTGAGAGATTTCTCCATCTTGTGAGTGAGAGATTTCTCCATCTTGTGAGTGAGAGATTTCTCCATCTTGTGAGAGATTTCTCCATCTTGTGAGTGAGAGATTTCTCCATCTTGTGCTGTTTGTGGCTTCCCGCCAGGACTCCGTGGAGGTGTCCTTCACCTTCGAGGGCAGCGGCCTCGTCCACAGGTGAGGGGGGTGGGGGGGTGGGGGGCTAGTGGGGGGTGGTGGGGGGGGGGAGTGGTGGGGGGAGCGTCAGACGCGTCGTCACAATGGCCGCCCGCCTGAAGGGACCAATCCGGTGAGGCGGCCGGTTCGTTGCGAGTTCGTCACTCTCGTTGGAGAGGCCCATAGGGTCAGGGCTATAGTGTCAGGGCTATAGGGTCAGGGCTATAGGGTCAGGGCTATAGGGTCAGGGCTATAGTGTCAGGGCTATAGGGTCAGGGCTATAGGGTCAGGGCTATAGGGTCAGGGCTATAGTGTCAGGGCTATAGGGTCAGGGCTATAGGGTCAGGGCTATAGTGTCAGGGCTATAGGGTCAGGGCTATAGGGTCAGGGCTATAGTGTCAGGGCTATAGGGTCAGGGCTATAGGGTCAGGGCTATAGTGTCAGGGCTATAGGGTCAGGGCTATAGTGTCAGGGCTATAGGGTCAGGGCTATAGGGTCAGGGCTATAGGGTCAGGGCTATAGTGTCAGGGCTATAGGGTCAGGGCTAGGGTCAGGGCATAGGACACTACATTACACACTATACCCAACACTATACACTACATAGAGTACACTACACACACACCCCATACACACAGACACACACACCACACCATACACACAACACACACACACACCACACCACACACACAACACACACATACACACAACACACACACCACACACACCACACAACACACACCATACACACACCACACACACCAACATACACACACACACCATACACACAACACACACACACCAACACACCAACACCACAACACACACACACCACGCACACACCACCAACACCACCAACCACACCAACACACTCCACCACACAAACCACACACACCATACACACAACACACACACCAACCCACACACACAACACACACACACCACAACACACACACCATACACACACCATACAACACACACACCACACACATACACACAACACACACACCACGCACACACCATACACACACCAACCACACAATACACATCCACACACACACACCACACACACCATACACACAACACACACCACCACCACACAAAACACACACACCACACAACACACACACCACAACACACACACCATACACACACCACACACACATACATACAACATACACACAACACACACATACACACAACACACACACCATACACACACCAACCACACCATACACACTCCACACACACACACACACCATACACACAACACACACACACACACACACCACACAACACACACACACCACAAACACACACACCACAACACACACACATACACACACCACACACACCATACACACACACCATACACACACGCACACACACAACATACACACCATACACACACACCATACACACAACACACACACACATACACACACCAACCACCCATACACACTCCACACACACACACCACACACACCATACACACAACACACACCACACCACACACACCACCACAACACACACACACACAACCCAACACACATACACACACCACACACACCATACACACACACCATACACACACCGCACACACACCATACACACACCACACACACCATACACACACACCATACACACACCGCACACACACCATACACACAACATACACGCACCGCACACACCACACACGCCTGCTGGGTCTGTCCCGTGACCTCCTCCTGCCAGCGGGCATTAGACACTTTACGTGGCCTCAACGTGCACCTAGCGTGGCACAAGCATCGTGGTGACGTCACCGCCACTTAGCGGCGAACGGCGGTTGTTGTTGTTGTGTTGTTGTTGTGGTGTTGATATTGTTGTGTTGTTGTTGTGTTGTTGTTGGTGTGTCGTTGTTGTGTTGTGTTGTTGTTGTTGTGTCGTTGTTGTTGTGTTGTTGTTGTGTTGTTGATGATGTTGTTGTGGTGTTGATGTTGTTGTGGTGTTGATATTGTTGTGGTGCTGTTGATGTTGTTGTTGTGTTGTTGTGTTGTTATGTTGTTGTGTTGTTGTTGTTGTGTGCACGTCTCGTTTGGCCCTGCGGCAGGCCGGGGATCTCTGTGTTCCGTGAGCGCTGGCTCAGCGACATCCTGGAGAGCAAGAGACTCCTCCTGGAGACGCGGTGCCTGACAGCGACACCACCAACAACAACAATAGCAGCAACAACAACAACAACAGCAGCAACAATAACAGCAGCAGCAGCAACAACAGCAGCGACCATTCACTGCTGAACGCCACCACCACCGCCACCACATTCACTAATCACCTACCACCACCACCACCAACAACAGCAGCGGCAGCAACAACAGCAGCGACCATTCACCGCTGAACGCCACACCACCGCCACCACATTCACTCAACCACCACCACTACCACCACCTCCACCACTACCACCATCACCTCCATTCAACACCACAACACTATCGCCGCCACCTACACCACCACCTCACTCACCACCTACACCACCACTACCACCACCTCACCACCACCACACCACCACCACATCAACCACTACCACCACCAACCCACCACCGCCACTACCACCACCACCACCACTTATCACCACCACTCAACCACTACCACCATCACCACCTCCCCCACATCCTCCACCTCCATCCACCACTCTCCCATTGACACCCTGAGGATCTGTAAACTGATATTTAAAAAAAAAATGGGGCCTTCGATACGATGGTTGGAGTCTGCGCTCTCATCATCACAGTGGCTATGAGATGTTGACTACCTCGCCTGGTGTACAGGAGCTCGTGGGTTCCATCCCTCAGCCTGACGATGTCTGAGTGAGTGGTGAGATGTTGACTCGCCTGGTACACAGGAGGTCGTGGATTCCACCCTCACCTTGACGATGTCTGAGTGATTGAGTGAGATGTTGACTACCTCGCCTGGTGTACAGGAGGTCGTGGGTTCCATCCATCACCCTGACAATGTCTGAGTGAGTGAGATGTTGACTACCTCGCCTGTTACACAGGAGGTCGTGGTTCCACCCCAGTCCCTGGCGATGTCTGAGTGAGTGAGTGAGATGTTGACGACCTCGCCTGGTGTTCAGGAGGTTGTGGGTTCCATCACTCACCCTGACGATGTCTGAGTGAGTGGTGAGATGTTGACTACCTCGCAGACTACAAATATGGATGGAACCCACGACCTCCTGTACACCAGGCGAGGTAGTCAACATCTCACCCACTCAGACATCGTCAGGGTCAAGATCAAACCCACGACCTCCTGTACACCAGGCGAGGTAGTCAACATCTCACCCACTCACTCAGACATCGTCAGGGTCAAGATCGAACCCACGACCTCCTGCACACCAGGCGAGGTAGTCAACGTCTCATAGCCACCGTGACATCCCTGGGGACAGGCTTGCACACCGAGTCTCTCGTCACACAATCAGAATCTTTATTTCGACTGCAGCGGCAGGAGGAGGGAATCTGAAGCGCTGTAAAGCTCTTTGTCAAGCGATGTTCCAGTAAGGGGCACGGGGGTCAGACCGTTCGAACAACAACAATAGGAGGGTGACTGTGTGTTTGTGTGTGTGTAGGAGGGTGACTGTGTGTGTGTGTGGAGGAGGCTCGTGAAGGACGCTACTGGGCAGTTGGAGGCAGTCGCCCTCCAACAACAACGGAGGGCGGAGGAGCGATGCTCACAACAACGAGCGGAGCGCCGGATGGCTAAAGCACAGCAAGTTGGTACAGTAGGGGGCACAGGTGGTGCATCAGCCAGTCATCTCGGTCATCTCGGTCAGTCGACCCGTGGCACCTGCTCAGTCTGCCCCGTGACCTCCTGCCAGCGGGCGTTCGACACTTCACGTGGCCTCAAGGTGCACTTGGCCTGGCACAAGCGTCATGGTGACGTCACCACCACTTAGTGGCGAATGGCGGTTGTTGTTGTTGTTGTTGTGTGTCACTGTGTGTGTGTGTGTAGGAGGGTGACTGTGTGTGGTGTAGGAGGGTGACTGTGGTGTAGGAGGTGACTGTGTGTGTGTGTGTAGGAGGGTGACTGTGTGTGTGGTGTAGGAGGGTGACTGTGTGTGTGTGTAGGAGGGTGACTGTGTGTGTGTAGGAGGGTGACGTGTGTGTGTGTAGGAGGGTGACTGTGTGTGTGTAGGAGGGTGACTGTGGTGTGTAGGAGGGTGACTGTGTGTGTGTAGGAGGGGTGACTGTGTGTGTGTAGGAGGGTGACTGTGTGTGTGTGTAGGAGGGTGACTGTGTGTGTGTAGGAGGGTGAGTGTGTGTGTGTAGGAGGGTGACTCTGTGTGTGTGTGTGTAGGAGGGTGACTGTGTGTGTGTAGGAGGGTGAGTGTGTGTGTGTAGGAGGGTGGTGTGTGTGTAGGAGGGTGACTGGTGTGTGTAGGAGGGTGACTGTGTGTGTGTGTAGGAGGGTGACTGTGTGTGTGTAGGAGGGTGACTGTGTGTGTGTAGGGGGGACTGTGTGTGTGTGTAGGAGGTGACTGTGTGTGTGTGTAGGAGGGTGAGTTTGTGGTGTGTGTAGGAGGGTGACTGTGTGTGTGTAGGAGGGTGACTGTGTGTGTGTGTAGGAGGGTGACTCTGTGTGTGTGTGTGTAGGAGGGTGACTGGTGTGTGTAGGAGGGTGACTGTGTGTGTGTAGGAGGGTGACTGTGTGGTGTGTAGGAGGTGACTCTGTGTGTGTGTAGGAGGGTGACTGGTGTGTGTGTGTGCTGTGTAGTGTGAGGGTGACTG